ACAGAAAATTTTTCGAAGGTAATGAATCTAAAGGCACTTTTAATATATTTAGTTGTTGAAATAACCGAGGAAAATTGGAAAATATTTTTCCAAAATTTTCCAAAAAGTGTTTAATCGACTCCTAGAATAGATTGCGATTCCGAAGTCACTTTTTTACTCCTCTTGAATAAGTGAGGAAAAGAAAAATAATTTCCAAAAAAATATCCAAAAAAACGTAAAATAGTCTTTATTTGCGCTGGAAAATGATAACCTCATGAAGAATCTTGTGCGGATTTCGAAGTTAAAGTCAATTTTGGTCGTCTAATAGACGAGGAAAGTGGGAACATATTTTACAAACATTTTCCAAAAAAATTTTTCAATAAGTTTTTGGATAAAAAAACTAGCAAATAGAGCTTCTCGTAGATGACAAACCTGAAGGCACAATTAATGTAGTTGTTGAAAAAGCCGAGGAAAACTGGAAAATGTTTTCCAAAATTTTCCAAAAAAATTGTTACAATTGGCTTTTCGAAGAGAAAAACAAAAACACTAGCTCATAGAGGGATTCCCGTAGATTGCGATTTTGAAGTCAATTTTTTTACTTCTTTTGAATAAGTGAGAAAACGGGGAAAAAATTCAAAAAAAATCAAAAAAACGTAATATAGTCTTTATTTACCCTGGAAAATGATAAACTCATGAAGAGTCTTTTACGGATTTCGAAATTAAACTCAATTTTGGTCTTCAAATAGACGAAGAATGTGGGAACACATTTTCGAAAATTTTCCGAAAAATGTTTCAATAAGTTTTTGGATGAAGAAAAAACTCCAGAAAATAGAATTTTACGTAGATGATAAACCCAAAGGCACATTTAATGTAGTTGTTGAAAAAACCGAGGAAAATAGGAAAATAATTTCTCAAAATTTTTCAAAAATTGTGGCAATTGGCTCTTCGAAGAGAAAAACCAAAATGTATTTAGTTACGTTTCGAAAACGGTCGAAAATGGGTCGAAATTTAAAGAAGAGGGTGTTGTAATAATAAAGACAGTAAAATTAAATATTTAAAAATTCCAAAAATTGCGATATTTCAATAAACGATTATGAAAAAACCGTTGCAATTATGGAAGAAGCGACGTCAGCAGGGTCTTCTAGAGCTCCAAATCCACAAGAAAATGTATATATTTAGTTAAGTTTCGAAAATTATCAAAAAGTGGGTCCAAATTTGAAGAAGGGGAAAAATTTGACTATTGAAAAAGTTGTCTAAAAATCCACAAAGAAATTTGTGATGTAGATCTCGACGTGCTGATTCCAAAAATATAGCGTGTTTATGGTCACGAAGTAATATTTTCGCAATGTTCAGTTTTAGAGTCAATTTTTTAAAAAATAATTTCCAAAAGATCTAAAATAATTACTTTGGGTTCCATTTCTATAAAAAAATGTCCGGTTTACAGAGAATTTTTTGCAGGTAATGAACCTAAAGCCACTTTTATTATAGTTGTCGAAATAACCGTGCAAAATTGGAAAATAATTTTCCAAAATTTTCCAAAAAAGTCTCTAGCACATAGAGAGATTTTCGTAATTGCGATTCCAAAGTCAATTTTTTTATTCCTCTTGAATAAGTGAGAAAACGGGAAAAAAATTCAAAAAAAAATCCAAAAAAAAAAGTTAAACAGTCTTTATTTACCCTGGAAAATGGTAAATTCATGAAGAATCTTCTATGGATTTCGAAAGTAAAGTCAATTTTGGTTTTCAAATAGACAAGGAAAGTGGGAACACATTTTCCAAAAAAATTTCAATAAATGTTTCAATAAGTTTTTGGATAAAGAAAAAACTCCTATCGGAGAAACAAGGCCGACAAGACTTCTAGAGCTCGAAATCTACAAGAAAATGTATTCAATTAAGTTTCAAAATTTTCCAAAAATTTAGTCGAAATTTGAAGAAAGGGAAAAATTTCACTTTTAAAAAAGTTGTCAGAAAATCAACAAAAAATTTTGGATGGATCTCTACGTGCGGATTTCAAAAATATAGCGTGTTTATGATCACGGAGTAATATTTTTGCAATGTTCAGTTTTAAAATAAAATAAAAAAAAAATATTTCCAAAAAAATCTAAAATACTTATTACTTTGGGTTCCATTTCCATAAAAAAGTGGCCGGTTTATGCAGAATTTTTCGCAGGTAATGAAACTAAAGGCACTTTTAATACAGTTGTCGAAATAACTGCAGAAAATTGGAAAATATTTTTCCAAAATTTTCCAAAATAAAGTGTTATAATAGGCTCTTCGGATAGAAAAATAAAAACACTAGCTCAGAGAGATTCTCGTAGATTGCGTTTCCGAAGTCACTTTTTTACTCCTCTTAAATAAGTGAGAAAATGGGAAAATATTTCTAAAAAAAATCCAAAAACCGTAAAATATTCTTTGATACCTTGGAAAATGATAAACTCATGAAGAATCTTCTACGGATTTCGAAATTAAAGTCAATTTTGGTCTCCAAATAGACGAGGAAAGTGAGAACACATTTTCCAAAAATTTTTCAAAAATGACTTGATTGGCGCGGAAAAAGCACGAACTTTAACTTTTTGAAAATTCCGAATCTGTAGTCATGTTTATTACACCTCTGTATTTAACTAATAATAATTATTATACTGAGTCCTATTTCTAACAAGAAAGTCCGACTTATAGAGAATGTTTCTAAAATTATAAGTCTGAATGCATAGTTTTTCAAATATAAATTAATAAAAATGGGAAAATAATTTCCAAACATTTTCTAAAAAATGTTTCAATAAGCTTTTGCATAAAAAAAGCTCTAGCAAATAGAGTTTTTCGTAGATGATAAACCGAGGAAAATTGGAAAATAATTTCTCAAAATTTTCCAAAAAGTGTTACAATCGGCTCTTAGAAGAGAAAAACAAAAATATATTCAGTTACGTTTTGAACACGATCAGAATGGGTGGAAATTTGAAGAAGAGGGTGGGGCGAATAATAATAAAAAGTCAAATTATTTAAAAATTTCAAAAATTGCGACATTTCAATGGACGATTCTGGAAAAACCGTTGCAATTATCGAAGAAACGACGTCAGCAGGGACTTCTAGAGCTCAAAATTCACAAGAAAACGTATTTAATAGTTTCGAAAATGATCAAAAAGTTGGTCGAAATTTTGAAGACAGGGAAAAATTTGACGTTTGCAAAAGTTGTCTAAAAATCCACCAAAAAATCTGGATGTACATTTCGACGTGCTGATTCCAAAAATATAATGTGTTTTTTGTCATGGAGTAATATTTTCACAATGTTCAGTTTTAAAATCAAATTTGTAAAAAATAATTTCCAAAAAATTCTAAAATAATTGTTACTTTGGGTTTCAATTCTATAAAAAAATGTCCGATTTACGGAGAATTTTTCGCAGGTAATGAAACTAAAGGTAAATTTCATACAGTTGTCGAAATAACTGCAGAAAATTGGAAAATATTTTTCCAAAATTTTCAAAAAAAAAAAGTGTTACAATTGGCTCTTCGAAGAGAAAAACAAAAACACTAGCACATAGAGAGATTCTTGTAGATTGCGATTCCCAAGTAATTTTTTTTTACTTCTCTTGAATAAGTGAGAAAACGGGGGAAAACATTAAAAAAAATCCAAAAAACGTAAAATAGTCTTTATTTACCGTGGAATATGATAAACTCATGAAGAATCTTCTACAGATTTTGAAATTAAAAAAAATTTGGTCTTCAAAAAGATGAGGAAAGTGGGAACACATTTTCCAAAAATTTTTCGAAAATGACTGGATTATTGCGAAAAATAGCACAAACTTCCGAATTCCGAATCTGTAGTCATGCTTATTACATTTCTGTATTTAACTGAGACAAATGGGTAGATAGGTAATTTCGAAGAAAAAATCTAAAATAATCATTACAATATTTCTAAAATTCCAAATTTTAATGTCCAAACATTTTCAAAAAAAAAAAAGTCAACAATGGGCTCTTCGAATATAAAAAAAAACACTAGCATATAGGGTTTCTGGTAGATTGCCATTCCAAAATCATTTTTTACATCTCTGGTAATAAGCGAGAAAAACGGGAAAATGTTTTACAAAAAAACGTTAAAACAGTCTTTATTTATTGGTAAAAGCAGGAGAATTTTCTACAGATTTCGAATCTAAAGTCAAGTTTTCTCCTAAAAGAGACGAGAATAATTCGATTTGAAAAAGCAATAATATGTTGAAAATTCCAGACACGTTTTTTATATCTATATTCATTTAACCGCAACAAATGGGCAAACAATTTAAAAAAAAAAAAAATATTATTACAATGGGTTTGATTTCTATATAAAAACTTCCGGTTTACAGGAATTTTTCGTAAATTAGAAACCGGAATGCACATTTAATTTGAGAAATGTTTTCAAGTAATCGATGAAAATGGCAAAATAATTTCCAGAAAATTGTCGAAAAAATTTAAGCTGATTAGGGATTTTTGATGGATTACGAACATTAACTCATTTTGGTTCAGCACATTTGAAATAATCGAGAAAAATGAAAAAAATCGTAAAAAACTGTAGAATGAAAGAACAATTTTTTCATCCCCGCCACAATCTGTTGACGTAATTTCAAACAATTATTAAATGCATGGAACGTTTCTAGCCACAGCTATAAACTCGCATTAAAGAAACAAATAACCCTCAGTGACGACCGTGGCATTTCCCGGAAATCGTATATTAGCACGAAGTCGTCACGATCCCAATTAAAAAACCAAAATTGCAACATCAAAAACCGTGTTTTTATAACGTCTAAAAGAAAGATTATGTTAAACAGTGGCGCCGCGTCACAGAAAAACCCGCCATCCAAATCCGGCCCTGCTTCCCCTTTAATGAGATCGTGAATTATGCAGCGGGCCGAGCAAACTCGTTACATTTAAAAAGATATCATCCAATACTTGTCCGGTAATTAACGTCTCTACTTTGAAAATTGTACCTCGGAGAGTGATAGGGCGTCAAGTCTCCAGCTTTGTACTTTTTCAATTAGAACCGTTTTGTTCCAGGCGAGAATGAAGCAAAATAGACAGAAAGCGATTATCGGGGAATTAATGCGGGGCATGCAGCCCTCGATCCGCTCGTACGTCGATCCGTCGACCTTGATTTTGGACCTAATCCCCATGTTCATGACGATTCTTGCACCTTCGTTCCGACCGATAAGTTTGCACTTGTACACCGAAGAAGAGAAGAAAGTTCTGGATCGCGTCGTCAATGTGATGGTCGACTACAACTTGAACTATGTGCAGGAACGGACTGCCGAAGGTGCCTATGTGTATAAGTTGGGTAAGGTTGGGTCTGGTTTTCCTGTAGGACGACGAGGAATGATATTGGGGTTAATACAGATCCCGGTATTGACGAAATCGCCTCTTTCGCCGCCTCCAGGACCCTCTCCTACTCCAACAAGCAGCTCATCGCCCAGGAGATCGAGGCCGCGAAGATGCGCCGCTTCGAGGCCGCCCGGCCACCCCCCGCGCCCGAACAGCCGCCCTCCGCCTCCGCCTTGCCCAACCACCTCCAGACCCTCAAGGCCAAGAGCGTCGCCGCCTCCACGACCCCGGTAAGTGGTCAATTCTCTTCGTCGGAAGCGCGTTCGCGGCGCTCCGATGTGTTAACTCCTGGTAAATTGCTTCCGCGCTTAATGGATTTTTTGGACCGAGAGGAAATAACTCGGCGAGGTCCCTCCCTCTAGACTTTCCGTCCAGACGAAAAAATAAAAACATTATAAATCTATCCGACGGAGTAAATCTGTTATGATCATCATTCCGGATCTCCATTATTTCCATTAAGTGTGGCGGATTGCGGTCCATTACCGGCATAATTAAGACCGTATCGGGGGCGAGTGGCTCCTTTCATATTCTTTTCATATTTAAATGGTAGAGGCCATTATGGCGGTGCGGCGTGGACGGACGCCCCGCCAATTTTTGACGTTTTGTTGCAGGAACGGGCGATTTATCATCGGATGGAGGGGGCGGGGGGAGGGACGCGGTCCGGCCGGATTAGGTTTTAAATCGGAATCAATTTATTGAAATGATGGGAGTGATGGGATTAGTGGTCGGGGTTTTGCGGATTTGGGAAGTTTGCTTGATGGGAATAAGGGGAGTGTCGTCTTACGTTTTCGGGTACATGTTTTACCAAAGTTATTATTTACACTTTTCCGTTGTGTTATAAACTTGTTTACGTAGTTGTTGTATCACAAGAAGATTTCTACTTGGGTTTCATTTTTAAATCTTTTTCTACATTTTCGCCTCGTAATAATTTGAATTTGCGGAGCGAATGCAAAATTTTGCGAATTATGTGTTCTTTTGTAAAGTGAGAATGGGAACTAATAGAACGTAGGCTGTTAAAAAAAGAGTTAATTGTATTTTTTCTTGTTTTACTACTTATTTGCTACATTTATTTCTTATTTCTGAAGAAAAAAATGAGAAAACGGGTGGGTGGGCGGGGTTAAATTTAACTGTTTCAAACAGAATCTTTGTAAAGCAAGCAATAGCCCCGCCCACCCACCCCCTCTTTATTCCAGTGATTACCCTTAATATTGTTCAGTCATTTACCAAAATCAGTCTTATTTTAACAAATCTTATTTAGCAAGTACTACACTGCACTAATCCAAGTTCATATACGTATCCTTGCCAAAATGTTGATGAGGTCTTAACATTATTAATATTTTCAAAATTGACGAAAAAATATAGTTTGAGATTAATTATTATTGTTTGTTTTTAATCCTAGCATTTATATTTTTAAATCCTAGGATTAAAAATGAATCGTGGCTTAGTAGCGCAAGTTTTTTTTCCTAATTGTTTAAGACGGCTGAAGATAAAAATTCTTAGGGTCTTCATTATAAAATGAAAAAAAATTAAAGTTTGGTATCTTTAGTAAGATATATTTCGTGTATTTTCATGTTGAAGAACATGCACTTCTTTTGGCATACAATCTACAACCCATTTTATTGATTTATTTGTTTTTCAAAAATTGATATATTATTAGGCGAATTTATGGAATTAATTAACCCCGCCCACCCACCCCGCCTCCATTTCAGTGCTTGATTTTATCTGGTCAGAATGAACGGTGGATCTTAAATGAACAGAAATAAAATTCGTCGTTAGAATGAAAAATTCGCGTGTGGGCGGGGCTACTACTTCCTAAGGTAAGACTAGTTTTGGGAAATAACATATCCTCTAGGAAAATGTAGAACGAGTGGGCGGGGCTAATTTTTGATTCGAGTCATAAGACTGAAAAATATTAAAAATAGTCATTAGAGTGAAGAAGGGGTGGGTGGGCGGGGCAGCTGTTTGTTCATAAAACTCTATAGAAAAAAGTTAATCTCAAACCCGCCCTTCGCCTTTATCCATTTCACTGACTTATTTAATTTACTGTAAAATGGGAATCGAATTCTAATTTAAAAAGCTGTAGAATCTAAGACTTAAAAGACAGTCAAAAGTGGCCCCGCCCACGTACTCCTATTCCGTTTTGATCACTCATTTTATTGGTTCTGCGACGGAAGTTGGATTTTGTAAATTTTAATTATTTTTCGAAAAACTGCTTTGCCGTCAACGTTTACATTTAAATAATACAAAAACGCGTAAAGTAGACACACTTATAAACGCCGCCGCTCTTCCCCGGGCTAATGAAACGATTTATTAAAGTGGGTGGAGTTTGTGCGAGGCGGAGGAGTATCGGTTATATTGTTTTTTAAATGTGATTCTCCGTCTGGTATGCTGATTTAGTACCAGTTTAATACTTTTTAGAGACCTTGTTGAACAATTTATCTATTTTCTCACCAACGGTTTAATGGATTTGCTTAAGATTGCAGTAATAATAATGTTGTCATTGATTAACAATATCAAGAGTAGTCACTAAAATAAAGAGGGCGGGTGGGTGGGCGGCCGATTGCTTGCATTCTCTCTGCGACGGAAGTTGGATTTTGTAAATTTTAATTATTTTTCGAAAAACTATTTTACCGTCAACGTTTACATTTAAATAATAAAAAAATACGTAAAGTAGACATACTTACAAACGCCGCCCTTTTTCCCCGGGCTAATGAAACAATGTATTAAGGTGGGTGGAGCTTGTGCGAGTGGGAGGAGTATCGGTTATATTGTTTTTTAAATGTGATTCTCCGTCTGGTATGCTGATTTAATATCAGTTTAATACTTTTTAGATACCTTGTTGAACAATTTATCTATTTTCTCACCAACGGTTTAATGGATTTGCCTAAGATTGCAATAATAATAATGTTGTCATTGATTAATAATATCAAGTGTAGTCACTAAAATAAGGAGGGTGGGTGGGTGGTTGGGTAGGACTATTGCTTGCATTTAAGACTCTGTAGGGAAAAGTTAAACTTAAGTTAGATCACTCACACGATCTCTTTTTTTCTTTTAATTAAGAAATAAATCTTAAGGTAAATAGTATAATAAAAAATTTACGATTATATCTTTTTTTTACTTTTTTCACGCCCTAGACCCAATTAGTTTCAACTTCCACACGACAGAAGAAAATTATTAACCCCGCCCACCCACCCCGCCTCCATTTTAGTGATTAATTTTAACTGGCCAGAATGACCGTAGATCTTACAGTGAACAGAAATAAAATTCGTCGTTAGAATGAAAAGGCCACGTGTGGGCGGGGCTACTACTTGCTAAGATAAGACTATAAGAAAATAAAAGTAAGGGGGGCAGGCCTAGTACCTGCTAAGACAAGACTAGTTTTGGGAAATGACACACCCTCCAGGAAAATATAGAGCGAGTGGGCGGGACTAGTTTTTGATTTGAGTTATAAGACTGAAAACTATTAATTATTGGAGTGAAGAGGGGGTGGGTGGGCGGGACAGTTGTTTTTTTATAAGACTATAGAAAAAAGCTAAACTCTGACCCGCCCATGGCCTTTATCCATTTCACTGACTTATTTTATTTACTGTAAAATGATTAACAATATCAAGAGTAGTCACTAAAATAAGGAGGGTGGGTGGATGGGCAGGCCTATTGCTTGCATTTAAGACTCTGTAGGGAAAAGTTAAACTTACGCCAGCCCACTCACACGATCTCTTTTTTTTAATTAAGAAATAAATCTTAAGGTAAATAGTGTAACGAAAAATTTACAATTATGGCTTTCTTTTACTTTTTTCACGTCCTAGACCCAATTAGTTTCAACTCCTACACGACAGAAGAAAATTATTAACCCCGCCCACCCACCCCGCCTCCATTTCAGTGATTGATTTTATCTGGCCAGAATGAACGGTAGATCTTATAAGGAACAGAAATAAAATTCGTCGTTAGAATGAAAAATTCTCGTGTGGGCGGGGCTACTACTTCCTAAGATAAGACTAGTTTTGAAAAATGTAGAACGAGTGGGCGGGACTAGTTTTTGATTTGAGTTATAAGACTGAAAAATATTAAGAATAGTCATTGGAGTGAAGAGGGGGTGGGTGGGCGGGGCAGCTGTTTGTTTATAAGACTCTACAGAAAAAGTTAAACTCAGACCCGCCCATCGCTTTTGTCCATTTCACTGACTTAATAATAATAATAATAATAATAATTTTAATTCCAACAGACTAACGTCTATGGTGGAAACACACAGAGTTACATTAGTAGGTACATACTTGTAAACATTAATACAGAAAAAAAAAAACTAACAAATTTCAACTTAAAACTAACAGGTTCTTAAAGTGAACAGAGGAAAAAATATGATATGATACGTTTACTTACATTGTGGTTTAAATATACATAAATATATACGCTTAATTAAAAATTTTTACAAACAATTAAAAATTTCTACAAACAGTTAATAGCTTTAATTTAAGTCTTGGATTATAAAAATTGTCAAAAAATACGTCTACTCCATGAGGTATTATACAATTAGACAGTCTTAAACATCTGATTAGTGGACTGTTAAAATGGTGATAAGTACATGGTACTTTGTAATAAAATGTTGTTGGAGTGCGACAGTTTACACGTGGACAAACAAACTTTATACTCTCTAATATAGATGTACAAGATATGTTACCGTTTATCAGTTTTTGCATAAAAGATATACATGCCATATTCCTACGACTTTGAAGTGAGGATTCACCTATAATATCAAATAGCGCTCTTGAATCACAGTGCTGAGGCGGATAAGTACCATACATTTTAAAATAGATGAATTTAGCAATTTTTCGTAATACATTTTCAACGAGGTTAATATAAACTTGATAATAAGGCATCCAAATTATGCAACAATATTCAAGTTTGCTTCTCACTAAAGTATAAAACAATATTTTAATACTAAATATATCTTTAAAATCTGTTCCATTTCTTATAATAAACCCTACCGTTCTTAGAGAGCTATTAACCATTTGTTCGATATGTGGGACGAAAGACAAAGTAGAATCAATTATGACTCCTAAATCTCTGTATGCATTACACTTTTGTAACAGTACACCATTGATATTATAATAAAAGTTAATTTTATCTATCTTTCTCGTGCAACTCATGATTTTGCATTTGTCTTTATTAATTTCTAGTTTATTAATACAACTCCAAGTAATAAAATTATCTAAATTGCCCTGCAGCTTTAAGC